AAACATCGACATAAGTGTATCAAGATACCATTCTTGAAAAGGTAGTTGAGCCACTTAACAACACCATGTTCAATAACCAAGAATGGTCCTTTCAGCAAGACTTGGCGCCGGGCCATAAAGCTCGATTCACGCAATCTTAGTTAGAAATCCACGTTCCGGACTTCATGAGAGTTGAAGACTGGCCGTCATCTAGTCCCGATATTAATCCGCTGGAATATGATTTATGGTCAGTTTTAGAACGTATGGCTTGCTCTAAATTCCATGATGATTTGGAGTCCCTAAAATAATCCATACGATTGACAGTGAAGAATTTTCCCATGGAAAGAGTCCGTGCTTCTATTGAGAACTGGCCTCAACGTTTAAAGGACTGTATTGTAGCCAATGGAGACCCTTTCGAATATTCATGTATAGATAAACTAACACAGTGTAATAGTAATAAATGTTTCGTGCAATAGAAAAATGTTTTCTTCTTTGTAACAATATTTAGGGCAAGACTATGTATTTTAAAGCCACAAATTTTCATTCATATCACGCCATTGACAATAAATTATAAATACTTATTAATTTTTTTAATGTATAAACACCGGTAAGTAACATTTAAAGCCGTATACATACCTAATTAAATTCAAGAAATCCATAAGTTACAATATTATATTACCCTTAGTCCACTTTTTTAGTTCCTAATAGGTATACCTATATTTTTTTAAAATATGTTATATTCATTCTTAATATATATTTTAAAGCCACAATTTTTCATTCATATCACGAAGATCGAGAAGATAGATATAAATACAGAGGTACATTATAAATATACCTAGTTTAATTTTTAATACTGAACAGTTAATTAACACAGACTAGAAACATTTAAAACCGTACACATTCCATAAAACTATTTGAAAACACACATCTTTTTTTTGGTCAAAGGGACAAGATAATATGGAATTATAATACCTATTACAGATAGCATAATATGTATTATTTATTTATTTATTTTTGGGTGTGGTGCCGAGGTCGGCCCTAGCTACGTCGACCAGTTATGGTCCATTGTAGCTCTAGCATAATATGTAACTATTTTTAAAATGCATATTTTCTATTTTAAATTTCTAATACACATTGGACATTCAAAAATTATGTAATATTTTAACATTAAGTAACAAACCGACGCAGATATCAGTTGAGATTCCCCCAAACATTTCACGACATTTCCCCAAATAAGATACTGAGTCTCTCGCTAGCCCCTCAATCTTTATCGTATACCAATATAATAGGGGTTAAAATATGAAATTGCCGATTTGTACTGAAAAATTGAAATTCGTTCTTTTTTGAATTTAACATATTTACTTAATCAAAATAAATGCCATCTAATAGGAAGGTCATTTATGCCTTTGCGATAGACCTTTGGTTATCTAGATCCGACAAACTGTGTGAAAGCATTTCGTACTGCCTCCTGAGAAGAAAACTTTTTATCACGTAGAAAATTGTCCAAATCACGAAAAATATGGTAGTCCGTTGGAGCAAGGTCTGGCGAATACGGAGGGTAACGAATGATTTCTAATTGCAGTTCCTGTAGAGTTAAAACGATTTCTCGTGCTGTATGAGGTGTTGCGTTATCATGGAGAAATAATGGTGAAGATCGATTCATGAGTCGGGGCTGTTTCACTGCTAGTTTTGCTATCATTGTTCGGAGTTCGGCACAGTAGACATTTGCCGTTATTGCTTGATCAGATTGGAGAAAGCTATAGTGAATAACACTATGCTGAGACCACCAAACAGTTATCATTACCTTTTTATTGGTAAGCTTTGCTTTAGGACACTGTTGCGGCGTTTGACTAGGGTCAGCCATTGCATTTTTCGCTTACGGTAATCGTAAAGAATCCACTTTACATCATATGTCACAATTCGTTCCAATATTCCTTCATTTCTGTACCGATTCAACAAGGCAACACAAGTTTCAACACGCGTTTCTTTCTGCAGATCAGTCAAATCATGAGGCACCCATTTTTCATATTTTTATTTTATTGATTTGACGCAAATGAGTCAATATTGTTGGTAAGGTAACGTTTAATCATGCCGCAAATTCCTGGGTAGTTTGGCTCGGCTCGGCTTCCACCATCACTTTCAATTTATTGTTATTCACCTGTGTGGGCGGTCTTCCACGTGGCTCGTTCTTCAAATCAAAGTTTCCATCACGAAAGCGTTTAAACCAAAATCGCACGGTGCGTTCATTAGCAGTCCCCTCTCCAAACGTAACATTGATATTGCGAACTGTTTCTACCGCGTTAGTTCCGCGTGGGAGCCCGTATTTAAAAATCACTCGAATTTTCGAAGTATCCATCTTTCTTGTCTAAGCTGAATAAAAAACAACTGAAACCCGATAATCGAATGTTGCACTTTTTTTAAAAGAAGAACTACGAGTACACACACACACACACACACATAGGTACCATGTGAAATTAGTTTTACTCAAGAATCTCAAATCATGAAGGTTCTATGTCAATTCGAAATACCTATTACAATAAAACGGCAATTTCATATATTAACCCCTATTACTACAAATTGACAGACGCTTACACTTCGAAAACAAAATGTTAAAAGCTAGCGGCAAGTACATAGGTACTTAGAATACCTCTTAATCCATTTTACCTGATATATAATCTGGTTTTCGATGTTTAACTATCATATTACAATATGTATATATAAGTATCCATATAACATAGCCAACTCATTTTATTTTATTTTCATAAGCACACTTACGAGTACAATATGCATATTTAACATTAAGACACTAAATTATAAGAAAAGTTACACACTCACTGATATGTTTATCAATAACAAGTGTACATAACATTCATCAACAAATACATGTAAAACATTGAGAGGGAAAAAAGGAAAAAGGAATATTTTTTTCAATGTAAATTAGGACTCACCGACAGATGATCGGTGAGTTTTTTTTAAAGACAGCATATGAGTTGTGGAAAATGTCAATGCCTGGAAGAGCTCGAGATATTTCATTATATTTAGTACATATGCGAGACATGGGAGCTTGCTCTTGCTCAGATTCGAACCCATTCACTACTACCGTCTGGGGTCTCCGACTAAGATAAGATTCAAAACATTTATTTAGAGGGATTGATGCCGTATTGTGATAGCTTGTTTATCAGAATCTGATGGTCAACCTTATCAAATGCGCTACTTAGATCGGTAATAATAGCGTCGATCTGTTGACCCTTATCTACCTGTGCAATCAGATCTGAGGTAAAGGTTGAAAGTTAGTTGTTACTGATAAGCCGCTTCTGAAACCGTGCTGAGCGCTCGTTAGAAAGTTGTTCAATTGTTTGGTAGGATGGGATGCACAAGACTTTCAAACAGTTTTGAAATACATGACGGCATTGATATGGGACGGTAATTTTTAACATCTATTGGATCACCCTTTTTAAAAATTGATACCATAAGCGCTCTTTTCCACGCTCCGGGAAATACGCCTTCATCGAGGGAACGATTGAAGAATAGCGTAAGAGGGAATGCTAGACCTGAATCGCAACGTTTTACAAAAATGAGCGGAGGATCCTCTGGGCCTGTCCCCTTTTGAATATCCAACGTTTTTTTTCTTGATACATCTGCCTCTTGGAATTTAAACTTGGAGAGCAGTGAAATATTACTGTTTTAGTGTAAGTTAATGATTGGAGTTGACCAGCCGCTTGGGTATAAATTGAGAAAAAATGATTCGCAAATAGATTAGCGATATCTGTACCAGTACTAGCAGCTCTGTTGTACAGTTTCATTAATGCGGGAAAGGATGACTTACATTTCTTTTTAAGATAATTCCAAAAATACATTGGGTTTATGGAAATATTTGACTCAGCGTTGTGTTTATATAGTTATTGTGACAGATATCGTGGCAGCGGCTTCGGGTAATTTGGAATTCTAAATAGTCCCGAGGGTTGTTGTACTTACGATTTTTTTTATGAACATTACCTTTTTCTTTTAGTAACTTAATTCATTTGGAATTGAACCAAGTAGGGTATTCTGCTGCCTTAGACTGACGTTTAGGTACTAATCTATCAATTATCTTATAGAGACAATTATAAAATACATCAACCATGGCATCGACATTCTTACACTCAGAAAGTATCGGTAACCATCAATATTCTTAATTCGTGTACAATAGTAATATAATCTGCTTTAAAGTAGCTGTAATCGATACGACCTTTGGAACTTAGGAAGGATGCGTGTGAAAAATCAATTCTTATAAGCAGGTTTGGATGATAAGTATCTAATTTGGTGAGTAGATCGGGAGGTTTTACTACCGTGATATCAGTTAGGTTACTTAATACTAGGTTCAAGTGTCAATCATCATGACAGTTACCTATACAATTGATTTGGTGCAGATTATTAATAGACATAAAGTCAGTTAATGAGTATCCGATGGCATTATCATGATTACACGAAGACATATATGAACAGTTATCATTAGCACTCCATTTGATTAAATCCATATTAAAATCCCCCAATACTATCAAATCATAAACATGGCTAGTTACATTGTCCACAATCTCCAGAAACTTATTGAGAAACTCATACTTGACTGGAAGTGGTATATAAACTACACAAAGCCCAATTCTCTTTCTTACTTGTTTATTATTAGTTTCCAACACTAGCCATATGCACTCAGCATCGTTTGTCTCTCAACTAATAACTCGAGAAGATATCTCAGGTATCTCACGTGAGATAGCAACCAGAACGCCTCCTCCATCGCGTTTAGACTGATTAGAACATGCGCGACCTTTTCGATATACGATATAACGCAACTCATATAGTTCGTTATCAAAGACACTAGAATTTAGCCAAGTCTCGGTAAAAGCAATTATTTTATAATCCGTGGTCAAGATATTCTTAAGCACATCATTGGTTTTAGTTCTCAATCCACGCACATTTTGATAATAGATATCGAAGCCTGTAAAGGTGTAAGAGCTATAACATTCACTTTATAATAATTACTATTTAGACAATAAGCTTCTATCTTCACTTTTTATTAGTAATGCCTGGCTAAATTCGTCTTTGCGTACATAAATTTTGCCATTCCTAATCCAAGTAAAGCGATATTTCATATGTTTGGCTTTTAGGCGCGCGGCGGCGTGCAAAGATTTGCTTCCAGGAGTTAAATGTTCCGAGACATATATAGGTGCACATGATCCACCGATTCCTAGGTAATGAGAATTTAATTTGTCAGTAGGGTTTTTTTTGTTAAATTGCGCTACAGCAGCCAGAAAAGCGTCAAGGTGTTTTGTAGTACAGAGTTTGACAATGACAGAGCGTGGCTTGTCAGAGTTTTTGTTTAGCTTTGCTACACGAGTAACATGTTGAATGTCGTCCGAGGATAGAGGGTTTTTTACGACTTGTCCTAGCTGCACCATAGTGTTAACCAAATTCTCTGTCCTGTGCTCGGGTATACCGTTTACTTCGACATTACATTCTCTCAGATAGGATTCGACAATATTCAACCTAGTGTTGAGGTCTTTAACCGTCACATTCAGTTGATCATTTTCATTTTTTAGATTGTCGATAATAGTTGATTTTTTTGCCATCGCCGCTTTCATTTCTTCAAACTGTGTGTTTATAAAAGTCATACACTCATGGAATCCCGTTGTTTGTTCGTTTATTGTGTTTAGATGGGTTGTGACTAGTTCTCCAATCGCAATTAACAGTTCTTGTTTTATTATGCCGCGTAGAGTGCTTTCTGTCAATTTGGATGTCCTATTGGCATCGGTGTTGGCAACCATTGTTGTTGATGGCTTGCTAAGTTTTTTTCGAATGGTTCTTCGTTGTCGGATTCATAGTTGTATGTCAAATTTGTGATGGCTGCCCTGACGTGTGTGTTGGTATTGCCTGTCTTAGGCCGTTTACTACAACATTCCGGACATTTCCAAATTCTTTTTAACTTCAGATCTATTTTTTTGAATTGTTTGTGGGATATATTTGCACGTTCAACGTCGTACTTCGATCTGCAAGTCGAGCAACTTAGATATTCCTTCTTAGGCAAATTATTTTTGCATCCAGCGCATACTTTTAAATTTAAAGTACTCGCCATTGTTTATATTATAAGTAAAGTGTATTTTGAGAAATAAAAAAAGTCGATCGATGTTGGGTTTGAACTCGCGACAACAGCAACGCAATCCTTTGTTAGTGTAATTGCGCCACAATAGCAGTTGGTGGATTAGGTGAAAATGTCTTATAGTTTGGAGGACAACGTTGAAGTTATTTAGAAACTAGAGGGTATATCAATGTTTGCAACAAAAACGTAAAAGATCACTGATACACACTTCTTCTTCTTCTCCCTGCCCATTTCCCAATCACTTGGGATCGACACAGTACATCTTCTGTACTGCTGATAGGATTTGGCAAAAGTTTTACAACCGGCCGCCTGCCCGACGTCAACCCTCCTTGGGAATGCTATTGTCTCTCTTTGTCTGAATGGTATCGCAGAAGTTTTGTATTTATTATGCACTTTCGATTTTGTTGTCTTTTAAAAGATTTTTTATACTATTACTTAAATTTTTAATGTTATTTTCGTATATATTTTAAAATAAATTTTGATTACACAATGAATTTTGTTTTGACATTGTCAATTTTTTTCTAAATATTTGTTTTAACACTTATACACACTATTATTGTTAAATATTAGTCAGCACTATTATAACTTTTAGAGTTGTTTAACAATTTAGTAACACTTTAGCACTTTCTCCATCTCATACATTATTTAATTACCGATTAAAAAGATTGCTAATTTTGAGTTCCAGACGTTAAGGGCGAAAACGCGTATTAACTCAGTTGCCAATTAACTATATGTGGTGAAAACACTAACACTTCAAATTTATACTATGATTACGTTTTTGATAGGCATTTACTCACTTTAATCTATTTTTTTTTAATTTAAAATAAATTTTTAATAGGGAACAACGTTTTGACATGTTCACATGACGAGTGGCGCCACATTATATCTTCATCATAATATTACAGAATTTAATACACGTCCATCACATCTGATAAAATACGGACCGTTGCATCTTCACCTGTACGAGTAAATCGTACGGCAGCGTTCAAATCTGAAAGAAATAAAAAAAAAGATATTAGTTGTAAATATATCATTTTTTAAAATACTAATTATAAAATAAATAGATCAGTTGCTCATTCACTGATATTTATAATAAGCCATAAACAAACGTACAACTTGATTATTACAAGAAGAGATTTGGCAGAATAACTACTTTCTTTTGCCTCAATGGTGACATTATATAGTGGTAAGAAAAGTCAAATTTTTCGTCTGTTAAATCTCTTCTTTTGAAACACGAACAACAATTGACATTTAAGTACATGGCAACATTACATAAAATAAAAATTATAGTAAAAGATTGGAAAATACTTGCTTTAGGTATTCATTGTTGACCCACAACACCAGGCTGTATAAAGTCTGCTCAGTTTTAAACTGCTCTAACATAATAATTGAGGCTATATAACATTAAGAAATTTTCTATAAAAATAATAATAAAAGAAATGAGGAATAGAAAGTTTTTCACCATACAAAATTAATATAATGAAATAAAAAGGGTTTGTATGTTCGTTACTGCGTATTTATCTCTTAAATTATAACAGAATTAGTCATTCTTAATATCCATGTTCAAAAATTAAAACACGGATTTACTCTTACCAATTGTTTCAATTGCTTTTATTATTTGAATTCATATGTTTAGTTAAAAGATCTTGGAACTCAGTACTTATTTTTATTTAGTAAACTCACAAGTAGCCAAGATTTTTATACAGATTAAAATTATAAGAGGATGAAAGTCATAATAGTGTTGTCTTCCTCAAGAGGTTCCAGAAAAAAAAAACAAAATAAATAATAATATTATAAATTTATTCATTAAGTCTTAAGAAAATAACCAAGTTACATCGAAGACATTTCTTAGAATAGCGTTTTTTATCACTTTATGTGATAATCACATACAAATAAGTACTTATATATTTAAATACAAATTTAGTAAAATTTGGTCAAATTTACAACTATCGTCCAATAATACTGGATAAAGGAACTTTTGTACGAACTTTAAAAAAGACCAATACATATTATTGAAAATATTTCTAATTAGTTTGTATGAACTCTATGAGGTAACTTAACGTTAAAGCAGTGCTTAGGAAGTTAGCTCTTTTGAGTTACTATATCAATCATCGACTTAATTTTTGTAACTATCGGTAGAATCTATTAAAGTTAATTTTATTCTCTAAAAAATAATATGGGAAAGTTCGATTTCAAACATGACTAAAATATAAAACACAATCCAAAATGGATTAATAAAAAATATAACTTCAATCAAAAAAATATCGTTAATAAATATAATTTTTTAGTAACCTATTTATAAACTAAGTAAATTCCAAGCTTTTAAAGCTTTTATATAAGTAGTTAACTACTTACGCCCTTTGAATTAAATAAAAAAATCAACTACCGAGGAAGCTTGCATGCAATTTTTATACTTATTTATATACCTATAAAATGTATAATTCGTTGTCAGTCCTTTGTTTGTGAAATATTGAAAATAAAAATCGACTCAAAACAAAAGAAAACAAACTGTTTAGTGTTGAGAAAGTAACTAAATGTAGGCTAGTGCTTTAAATATGGGCTAATAATAATGCTCAGAAACTAATAATTGAAAGACATACAGACGACTCTGTTCTATCTCATTCATTCGCTCTAACACAGCATTCGCTCAGTGTAGCCAACTTAGGGGCTTTCCCCCATTTAGGGACTTTTTTAGGGAGAAAAAATGTTTAGTGGTTTTTTTTAATATAATCTAATAATATTAATAAATATTAATAACGTTTTATAAAGTTTCATTTAAAGACTTGGAAAAATCATATATCTTTAAATATCATTTTCATCATGTATCCTTTTTTTTTTGTTATTTTCTAAGTTATCTATGAAATTTATTATTTTTATGAAAGGGTTATATGTAACCGTGAATATGTTTTTACATTTTTCAAATTGTCAGTTAGGGGAAATCAGAAGTTTTTGAAATTACTTTTAGGGGGATAAAATTTCAAGTGTTGGCAATACTGCATTCGCTCTACTTCGGCCTTCGCCAGTACGTCGCGAGCTGTCGTCGGGGTATAACGTGGCTTTGTCGGAGGTCTCAAAAACTTTCGTAACGTATGTAAATATGATGCTATAAATAAAAAGTTGATCTCTAAATAGTTCTTTTTTTATTTTTGTCCCAAAAACAAAATAGTATCCCATATTTAGTTACTCTCCTCTATTAAATGTCATTAATAATTATTAAATAAAAACTTTCTGGTCGTGTTAGAAAAAAAAACTCTTGGTATTTAAAACCAATGTGGTTAGAATAAAATAAAAAAAATATATATACCACGAGCAAAAGTATTAGATATTTAAAGCATATTTATAATTTATTATTTATGATATAAAGCAAGCGACTATTAGAAAATATTTAATTTAAATATGATACCTACATTTGTAACAACTGTAGATCTTTCCATCATAACCAGACTATAAAACTTTTTCGTTACATATTAACTAAAAATACATGCGAGTAAACACTTCATGCACTAAACACAAGCGTATTATCTAACTACAACCTCATACATAATATAATTTTCATAAATTGATACATTAAGTACAAAATTCGAAAAATTACAATGTTAAAAATTATATGAAAAACAATGAATTTTCAGTTCTACACGATAATCCATTCTATATAAATTTGTTTTGTCTTTTTTTACCGACTTCAAAAAAGTAAGAAGTATCTATTCAATATAATCTCTTGTACTTTATGTGGTTCCATAGACGTTACAAGAAAAAACATAAGAGGAAGTTTAAAAGTAGCGCCAGTGGCAAGAAAATTTGAAAGGAAATCGTCTACGTTGATATATAGATATATTTAATATATAAATATGTTTATTATATTAGTGAGCTCATGTAGTTATAATTTACTGAGGCAACATTGGTGTACCAGTTAGCTATAGAATGCAAAATTAGCTTGCTTTTAATCTTTTTGAGGCCTTATTCAATGCCTGAAGTAGTAATGATTGAACTATGCATTTATGATGTAGAGAAAGATATACTACGTTTTATTGCTTCTTATTGATAGATCGCGTTAGAGTCTATTGTATGAACAATGTCATGAAGAGGTATGAAACGGGTGTGTTGAGAAGAGTGATGGAAATGAATGTAGATGGATGTAGAGGTTGAGGCAAGACAGAGAGAGGGACAGAAGATAAGATGGATAGATTGTGTGAGACAGGACATGGAAGAGAAGGGGATAAATGATGAGGTGACGGAAGACGTACTACGCTGACCCCATCGATCAAAAAAGTATTATATATACAATCAATGACAAAAAATGTCCACACCGAAGGAGCGCTTATTTGAACATTTGAGCGCGCTTTAATTATTAATTTTTTGTAAAAACAACTTTAAGTATTGCTTTTAAGTTTCAATTTAAATTGTTGTATATTTATTCAACTAAAATAATTACCTGAACACAACTGGTGAGAGTGTTACGAGAAGTTTGGCATGGCATTGTGTATCTAGAACTTTTTTGATCGATGGCGGACCCCGTAATTTGCGATGGTGATACATTTGAAAAAAAATATAACCTTATAACAGAGTTATTTTTAAAATAACAATTTCTATATTTTTTAAAGTCAGTAATACCTTTTTAGTTAAAAAAATAATTACTATCTATATCTATTATATTATTGCATTATTATC